ATAGTTGATAGAGAAACGTTTGAATGATCACTTCATCTGACAGACTAGTCCTAATATACAAGAGTAGTGACAAACTGTTACTAAGAGTCTTACCAAGTCATGATATAGACCAGAATCAGAATCTCAGAATCATTCTACTTATTTAGGCTACTACTAACAATCTGATGAGCATTTTGATTCAGAAAACTTGACTGTGTAACCATCATGAAGATAAACAGATAGCAGTACGCAACTAATTCACATGACACCCTAGTGAAACTGTCACTGGCTGACATGAGACTGTAAGCTGATCAACAGTTTCAGATATATCAGACCAGTGTTTCAGAAAATGATCGATTTAGAAAGTGATGGACCACTCATCACCCATGAAAGTGGATTTATCATTGCGTCAATTGCAAGTTTACCAAACCACGGCTATTTCAGATAGTCGAAATCATGATCAGTTTAATGCTGCTTCTCTCTAACTCAGTTGGATTTGGATTAGAAGTTCTGACTAGATAGTCAATGCGATTACAATCAAGCGAAAGTAACGCGTTACGAATTCACAAGGGCGGTCAGCACTCAAAACTCGTAGGTGATTTGGTAGAGGAACGGACAGATAAGCCAATGGTCACTAGTTCAAATCCCACTGTGGTCCAAATTTTCATTTCATTTTCATTCATCACCTAGCATCAATCTTGTCCATGTGGCACAGTCTATAAATAACTTTCGTTATCTATGTTCTCTTCGAAATAAAACAAATACCTTTTTCAAAACTTAATTAATGCCTATAAGAACAGATTAAGAAAATGGTTTGATGTTAATAGGATTATCAACAGTTCTACAAAATCAAAGCTTAGTTCAAGTCGCTAACTGTATACTTTTCGTCATGAAAAATGTTTATTCAACTGGCATAATCTCCTAGAAATGCTAGGAAAACATTTTTCAGCCACGAAGACCGTTTATAATAATCACATAGCAACCTGTTTATTACACAGTGTATTAAAAATCATATCATTAATGAATTTGAAATAGGAATTGATTTAGTTTTGGCTAGCAGAGGAATCCAGGACGCGTATTTCTTCCTATCTGGCACTTGTCAGTTGAACATACTTTCATCTCAGTAAAACAGCGGAGAATGACAAGCATAGCAATAGATGGCCAGAAAGAATAGTCAACAAGGAACTCTTGGAATGAACTAACCAACAACCTATCACCCAACAAATATGCAGAAGGAAGTGGAGTTGGATTGGACTGGGCATGCACTGAGATGGCCGACTGGGACATCACGCGTCAGGCCAGGTCGTCGAGTGGAACCCAGATGGGAAACGTCGAGTTGGGCGTGTGAGGTGAGGGTGACATGGAGGAGATCGTGCGAGGAAGAAATGCGAGCTTGTGAGCTGTCGTGGAGCCAGGTTCAAAAATTTGCAGAGAATAGAATGCACTGGAGACGTGCTACTGAAGCCCTATGTTCCATTAGGAACCCAAGGGATAGATAATAATAAAGTAATATAATATTTGTCTATAAGCTAATTATTTCTCATTAGGTTGGCAAAAAATAACTGAGATCATTGAGCAAAGATTTTTTCTATCATAAGGTAGGTGTTTTAAGATCAGTTGACAGCAAGCTGTAAATCAGTCTATATATCAGTAGAGGACTACAATAGAAATGTGTCTAGAGATGTGCGATTGCTAACTTCATGGCTATGGATCGAATCACTAGTCATAGTTAAGGATGATCACCTTACGTTACTACTAACATTTAATGAATTTTTAAAATAAATAGCTTCCTTTATAAACTTCAACAAAACAATAAGATATGATTTATCTGAGCCGTGTAATACATTCACGCAACACATTTAAAATAATTTAATCCTACACATACTTGTTGTAGGTATCTTTATGGAACTATATCAAGAGATATGCAGTGAGAATATAAAAAGAGGTCAAGTAGGGAGAATAAATTAAAAACCAAATAACAATGAAAATCAGTAGAACGGAAATAATCGTTCACCGGACTTAGCTTCAGAGTTGAATTCACCGAGGGAGGTTTCACGTGATAACAGATTGTATAGTGAACACATAAAGATAGCTTAAACTTCTTAAGAGCTATGGCCTTGTGGAATTTAAGGATCTCGCCCCCCCCCCTTCCAACACGTTTTGTAAATAGGTGTAAAGAAAGTAGAAACGGCCCTCCTTGACGATGTACTTCGCTACTGAAGAACTTGAACGTCTGTTGCAAACGTTTATAGGTTGTTAGGCTACCGACTGATATCCATGAGAAATTTCAACACTTACGTATTCGAAAAAAACTGATTGAGAAAAGGAATATATTCCTCTCCAACTAAGTCTTCATCAGTTTGATCAAATTACCAATCACATGGTGAAGTCTCGAAAATAATCATGTAAATAATCGAGTTACTAAAATTGGAAATATGAAACAAGCTCTTCTTTGGTAAATGGAGTTACTTTAATGAGTGTTCAGTCATCTACAATAGGCGATTACGCAATAATACGAAACTAAATGAATAATGATAGAAATAAGAAAGGGATGATGTGTACTAAGTAAACCTAGGAGTTACATTACAACCTAGAAGTTGCAGAAGTGGTCAAACAAACTTCTTTTGGATACAAAGCCTACGTTTGTAGAAGTGGATTGCAATCGCCTCTGCTGTGTGAAGTAACAGAATGCGTAATCCATGAGGTAAATTAATTGGAATCTGATGGATGATTTTGAAGGCTTTTCTAGTAACCACTTGGTGTCCTGTGTCAACTAGGTGTTAAAGTATGGAGCTCTTTATAATTTGTTTAGTCCTTTGTTCAACCATGATGGGTGGTGCTCAGAAATTCGAGTGTGGAACTGCCTCATTGTACGCCCAATGTGACTAGCTCCACAGCAGCAGTTAAATTGATAAATACACATAGAAGTGACCGAACCAGACAGTTTGTCTTTATTTCTTGCACCTAAAATCATGCGGTTGTAGAAGGTGGGACATAATTTAGTGGCTGGGAATGCTTCATGCGTTGTGTGATGGTCTCACTGGCAATGTCACTCTTAAATTCCAGCTTCAAGAAGATTCGCTTCTTAGTAACTGTTGGCATTATTGTCTTAACCTTCATAATATTCCTGTGCTTAGTTATAAACTTGTCTAGATAGCCAGCCATTCCTACTAAGTAGACCACGGATGGTGGCGCACTCTTCCTTTATAGCATCCTCTGAGCAAATAGCTGAGGCACGGTATGCTAAGCATCTACGATATATACTTTTGTTGACTACTTTTAATCTTCTATACCCAATAGAAAACAAACAAAAGACGACTTCAAATAACTACAGATTTCCCAAAACAATGATTAAAAGCAACAATGTGAACGAAGAATATTCTTTTCAATAAACATTCTCATCAAGTTCTGTAATTCTAAAATGCATTTGTATGGCAGAAAATTCGAGTCAGGTTAGGGGCATATATATTTTCAGAATGAAGTGAAATATAAGAAATGTAAGGGAATTGAGCTTTTCGTTACTAAATTTGTAAATATTTCAATGATATATATACAAATGAAGAATGTGATAATGAACATATAATAAAGACAAGAGTGGCCTTTAATTTACTGAAAGCCAAGATAAAAGCAATTCTGGGACATGTTCTTTATGAATGCATAGTTCAGGTTTGATTGACCTTATTGAGACAGTCTCCATTATGTTGAGCAGGCGTTGCTGATATCGTTTTTGGAATATGATGAGTAACATTGAAAGCTTTATTTGGATCTATGAGATGTTATGTTTTCACTGGGTGTGCTGAGACTGAACTTTTCATCACTTTTACTAGGCCTTTACTAAACCAAGTTGGTAAATGCTCTGGTATCCGGAGACACGTCTGCTTAGTCATACCTCCAATATCATTGGCTTTACAGCAACAGATAAACTGATATATACAAGGTGAAGATGACTTAGCTACAAAAATTTTCTTTTCAGTAAAAGATTTTTAGAAGCTTCAGATTTATCCTTATATTTACAAAACAAATGTGTCCATAAAGACCGACTCAAGGTCAATTCAGGGTCAGAATCAATATTTTACCTCCTTTTCTTACTCTGTAGTGGTTGATTACTATGAGACTGTCCCACTTTTTAGATCATTACGTAATCACCTTGTAGTAACCTTTTAATGACTTTTCAGAGATTACTCTGTAATCCTATTAGCAATTTATGATGACCCTTATGTTGACCAACTAACCACTGATGAATTTTCTTACCGTTTCTATAAATAAGAATGAAAATCATTCCTCAACGTATTTATGTTCATTTATGTGTTCAGGTTGATATGTGTGATTAAATTTTTCCGTCTCATTCATTGATCGTTCACTGAAGAGGAGTGGACAGCATAAGATTGATCACTCATTAGTTATCAATCTATGTATTTAATACAGCCCCAAAGCAGGTCAATCGTTGCCCGAACAGCTCTGTGGTAACGTCTCTGACCGTAGCACATGTGGATGTGGGTTAAACTTTCTGGCAGGTCATAGGTTCTTTCTAGGCTGTATATACGCTTCGCTGATAAGTGCTAACTAATACGAAACGTTGGTCAAGTTTGGCTTCTTCTTGATGATTATTATCAACCAACTAATATCATTTGTACTAAATATCAACCACAGAATAGAAAATTCTTTAAGTAATGAAAACTAAATTTATCTAAATAAAAATAGCGAAATATTCGCTTTCTGACAATTTGTCCTATTCTATATGCTTTAGCTGATATGATCGATGAAACTATTCTGTAGGAAACTGTGGGGTGTTGCAGTCACGACAGTGATGTATACCCTAAACCGATCGACTATACATCTTCAGACGCTTAATTTCTCATCTTCAAAAAGATCCCGAATGCTAATTCTATTTACCACCTTTTTTAATCTATTCTTAAATAAAATAAGATGGTTCTTAAACTCTGAAAGTGTTAAACAGTTTGTCTGTTTACTTATCTCACAATTTTTCTCCTTTTTTTCTCTTTTTTTTCTATGTGTACAAGGAATATATGACAGTCCAGTGTACATGGTGTAAAATTGGTTATCATAATAAACCAACATGTTTTCAAGAATCCTTTTTATCATCTGAACCGTGTTCATTAGGACCGTATTCTGATTTAATTGTTCCACCTGACTGGATTATAAAACTGTCTGAAGGAGTAAGTTTCATTTTGAACTGTAGATGTATATATGCTTTATTTGTTGGTTAGTTTCTTCATCAATCTATAGAAGTACAGAAATGTACTGGAATAGTGTAGAAATCTGCGCTGAATCATAAGAAGGGAAGAAGAAAATTGGGAGAAGGATACTCGAAAAAGGACTAAACTTCAGTGTGACAATAGGTCATCTAAAACCAGAAGATGTCATACTTAGCACAGAAGTAGCGTTAAGCTCAGTGGATGCAGCAAAAGCTGAACAGGTTAGAGCACACTATGCTTTAACAGTGAAAAGACAAAAGAAAAAGTGGAACTTAACAAAACTTGAAAATTCAGCTCTGAATAGTCTACCGAATGAAAATAATATAGTAATCGTTAAGTTTGATAAAGGCAATTCAACATTAGTTATGGACAAATGATTACTTCAACAAAATTGATGAGCATATCCAAACAGGACCATGTGAATAAATCAAGAAGACCTTAGACACGATCATGAATAGAATCAGGAAATCTACTGCTGATCTGATACGCCGACTAAAGCCATCTCTAGGTGAGTCTGAACGGTTTAATTTAATGCCTAGAACTAATAATTCTAGCAGAATTTATGGTACCATTTAGGTTCATCAACCAGGTTATCCTATTAGACACATAGTTGACTTCAGAAATATCCCAACATATGAACTAGCAAATTACCTAGCATAGATATTATGTCTTATTAGGAACCGTTCAAATTCCAGACTAGTAAACTCTTACGAGTTAAAATAGGCTTAATGACCTACACATAGAAGAGGATGAAAAAATGGTTAGCTTCCATGTAACTAGTCTGTATACTAAAATAGAAATCAATATGGCACTGGAGGCAGCCAGAAGTCAACTAAATATTGACTCAGAACTTACTCACAGAACTAATATATCGGTTGATGAGATTATATTAGGCATACAGTTATGCCTAACCTCCACAGTCTTCAAGTTTCAAGACGAAATATACAGACAAACAGAAGGGGTAGCAATGGGATCACCAATATCCCCAATCGTAGCTTTACAAACGTTTAGTCCTACACCAAAAATATAGTGACGATATATGGATGACACATTTACTGTGTTAAAATCGGAACATATCGACAATTTCCTCATGCATATAAGCCCAGTAGTAAACGCAATCCAATTCACTTATGAGGTAGAAAATGAATAAGGAGAATCACCTATGTTGGATTGCAGAATAAAACAAAGAACAGACGGTGACTTGGATACTACTATCTACAGAAAACCAACATATTCCAACAGGTATCTAAACTTCAAATCACCCCATCCAATATCAGTTAAGGCAGGATTATTCAAATGTCTAAATGATAGAGCTAGAAAACTGACTAGTCAGAGCAAGAACCTGAACAAGGAATCGAAACACGTAAAAGAAGCGCTAATAGTCAATAATTATCCTCCTCAGCTTATTAAGAAATTCTTACAGACACACAAAAAAAGAAAAAATAACAGTCAGACGAGTGCGACTAACAACGACAACAGGAGTAGAAAGAAGTTCACAGCCTCCATTGTATTACCCTATAAGGAGGGTACCTCAAAAACTTTACGTAGAATCTTCAACACAGCTGGAATTCGGGTAGTATTTAAACCTACAAACTCACTCAGAGATAAACTTTGTCGACTGGCTTGAGGATCCGATAGAACCAATTAAGCAAAATAATCTAATCTATCAAATTCCATGAGATGACTGTCAGTCAGGTCAAGTATATAGGTCAAACTAGTCTGTCGGGGTCAGTTAGATTAGCGCAACATAGGAACTTAGCCAAATATAAAATAACAGACCTAAATAAAATCAACAATCTAGAAAATGCCCGGCTATTGCTATGCCTGCTTTGACACACAACCACACAATAGGGTGGGATAAAGCCACTGTCCAATATAATTCAGTGGAGATTGAGAGAGATTGATTACTGAATCTTTCTTCATCGAATCAACACACACATGTACTAGAAATGACCCAACACTTATACCAAATATGTGGAAACTTTTGCTACCAATCAAAACAACTCATATAAGGTGACATAACTATAAAAACCAAATGTCGAAAGTAGTGTGATTACATTGATATGTTTATGAACAGTAATAATTTATGCTCGAAAGGTCATCAAGTAAATAATACTAGATCACTGTGTTGTTACAAACCAAATAAACAAATGTAAAATGGGACTAACATTCTACCACAGTGCCCAAGTCTTACACCTATATTAAAGAATATTTTCTTTCTAACAATACCATTTACTAAAGCTGTACAATAGTTTTTATAAGTATTCATTGATTTCAGGTTAGTATTTTTTCATCATGCACCGACATCATTTGGAGGAACATTGGAAACGTGGAAGTACTGGACAGCTGTTTCGTTCTAGTATAGAATATCTCAGTAATGCGCACCTACGAACCCACCCCGCAAGGGATTGTCGCTGTGACCTTCAGGTTCCTCGGCCAGTATGTTACCACTGAGCTACTGGGTAGGAATTCAATGGCAAATATTTATAACTTCTGGTAGTTCATGATAAAGTGGGATCTCTATCCAATACCGTAGTTGAATCCACTGGCCATGACTTCTCATTAAAATTTCGGGAATCATCTATCGAAGCTAGTCACCAATGAACACTAGATTAATTCAATTTTGAGATTTATGGAGATTTATTGATTTCAGTTAGGTATTTATCAGTGACTTTTGTCGGTCGGATAAATAGTGAAGTCCCTGTACAGCTGTTTTGTTACAGTATTTATAACAAGTGAAACGAAATGTTTAGTGTTCAGAAACGTGTATCAAGGGATAAATTTATTTTTGGCGATATCCTCCTCTACAGTCGTACTTAAATATTGTTAGTACATACATATTTCGAACTCTGACAACGAGCCAACCAACAACCTATCGCTCAAGAAATATGCAGAAGGAAGTGGAGATGGATTGGGCATACATTGGGAAGACTATTCGGGGACATCATGCGCCAGGCCAGGCACTCGAGTGGAACCCAGATAGGAAACGACGAGTTGGGCACTCGAGGTGAGGGTGACATTGAGAAAATAGTGTGAGAAAGAACTGAGAGCTTCTGGGCTGTTGTGGAGCAAGTCCGAAAGTTTGCAGAGGAGAGAGTGGAATAGATACGTGCTAGTGAAGTCCTATGTTCCACTAGAAACCTAAGGGACAAATAATAGTAATATTTCAATTCATCTGCTCCTGTTAAGCTAGTTACATAGGTGGTACGCATAGTTAGATTATCCAACTCTGACTCCAGCACCTTCTAATATGGCTCAGTAAACATCAACACAGGCTAGTCAACAATTCCTTATTACAACGCTTGGTTTACAGTGGACACACACTTTCAGAAGATTCGTTTGCATCGGTCTAAAAAGTACAACGAAACCTCCTGAAGTTTGTAAGGAAACTTTAAGTCTATTTACTTCGAAAGTGAAACTGTGTATCCAGAAACATCTTTACCATCCTCTGTCTTTATTCTCTTCTAAATTCTCAAATTTTCCACCTCTTAAGCTCAACTGATCTCTGTTTATTCTCGTGTGAGTATTGTGTGGATGGTTTCCATTTAAGTCGTTTTATTACGAATTCTGTACTTCGGGATTCGAACTCATATTTTGCTTTCACTTTCAAATATTTAAATGTTTATTACATGATCTTCATTCCTATACTATTTTCCTGGCCATAAACTTCTAGCAGTTGTTGAAAGAGAATTAATGACACTGCTTATGCCGGATGGTTGTGAGGACAGTTACGCAACGATGACATTGGGTGGCGGTTGCGCTATATCGTGAGCTAACAGAAGTTGAAAATATGGAGCATTGGATTTTGACTCAGTGGCTAGCTCAGTGGTAACGTGCTAGCCATGGAACCTGAAGGTCGTGGGTTCGATTTAGGGAGGGTGGGGTGGTGGGTGCACAGTGCTGTGGAGTCCCATACTAGGGTGAAACAGCTTTCCAGTGCTCCCAGGTTTGTTATGTTCCTCCAACTGATATCAGTCTACGATGAACTGGCACTTCTTATGCTAACTGAATATGATTGTACAGCTGAAGAGGATGAAATTGTCAAAAATAAATTTGTTCGCTGAAGTCTTCACTCCTTTATAACTGAATAGGAATATTTAAAAACCTATCAGTATATCTATATGAAGTGATTTGTTCATACTTTTTTACTGACGCCAAGCTTTTCTATACCAGTTATGTAGATGAGTTTTACAGTCTTCTGTTATTTCCATCTAAATGTATTACTTTGTAAAAACAGTACAGAAATGTTTGAACACACTACAGTAGTTTCTACATATGAGTGATCGCCAAAAGGATGACGATAATTTGCAGATTAGATCGCATATGTACAACTAAACTTATCCTATAACTAAATTTTGAAAGCTGACTAAGTAACTGTAAGCATTCCAGTCACTGTATGCATACAATAAGTTGGAAAACATAAATTGAATATCTCCACTGCGATGTAAGTAATTATATTTGAAGAGAAACATTTTATTAATAATGGATAGTGGCTAGTAGTGGAATTCAAAACACTTGGCACCTCATATTTCTTACTCACTAGCTGGATATACCTGGCCCCTATTGGGTAATATTGCTCCCGCTTAGAAGAAAGAAATTCTTCTTTGCAACAGTAGCATTTTCAAAAGTTTTACAATCATGTTTATATAGAAATTAGGATAGACAATGACAATTTTATAACTATTTGTTGATCGAGTTGTTCGACCTCTGTTGGTGTATGAGCTCCTATGCAGATACCTTGATATTGCCTGAATATTAATTATAGTAATTTATTTGGTTGTGGAAAGCAGAGGAATCGAGGACGAAAATAGGATGAAATATGCCTCCTATATTCCTCTGCTAGCTAGCCACTAAGTAGACTATAACATAGTGAGTATTTAGGCAACATCAAGGAATCCGCATAGCAACCCATATGCCAATAAAAGTCGGACAATTCGATCTAGTGTAATGACCGAGAATTACAAGCATATCAATAAATAGTCTTAACTAATGTCCGTTGTACATGAAGTGGCTATCTTACCTCAGTGGCCTAGTGAATAACGCTTTGGAGTTTGAAGCGATGGATACAAGGTTCGAGTCTCAGTAGGAATATCACTTACTAGGGTGCAGGTACATCCAGCTGACGAGTCTCAAATTCGACGAAATGCGTGCTGAATTCCTCTGCCAGCCACAATCAAGTAGATGACAAATTTATTTGTGTATACGTTTCATTTTCTTAATAAGTGAGGTCACAAAGTGGATTAATATGAATGAGGTTAATATTTTGTCAATCATTAAATCAGTTGAAAAACTGTAGGAGATTAAATGGGAGAGATGCAAGATAATTGGAGGCAGATGAGTGAATGAATATGTTGTGATTTTATTTAAAAGCAGTTGAGTGAAGATTATGTGAAACAACAAATGTGCTAATTAGTCAATCGAAATATGATATATATTATCCCATCGTTGATTGGACTGAATTGATCAATCTCTATGCGTATATGGGCTCCTGTGCGGATGTTTTGATATTGCATATGCTTTAATTATATATTAACGTTGGATATCGGGGCATCTACACAGAAGTCCATGTACCAATAGAAACCGATCAATTGGGTCTAATCAACCATGATACAAGCAATAACACCAAAACTATACCTGCCGCTTAAGAAGTGGCTATCGTAGTTAGGTGGTCTAGTGGACAACGCTCTGAGATTTGAAGCGGTCAGTCCCGAGTTTGAGTCCCAGTGTGGACATAACTCACTGGGATGCATGTACATCACACTGACCAGTCCCAAATAGGGTAAAACGCTTGTCTTTGGTTCTATTTCTAGCCACTATCCATCATTAATATAAAATATGATTTATTTTGAGGTTAATTGGGAGTTTATTCTTAAGGTAGTATTCATCACAGACGGATATCGATTGTAGAACCATTGGAGACTTATGAGCGCTGGACAGCTGTTTTATCCTTGACAGAGGTGTGGGCGCACACTTCTGAGAAGTTCCAGAACAGGAAGAAACAGCTGCCCATTGCTCTTAGGGTTTCAATGGTTCCCCTAGAGTGTGAATTTTCGGGGCTTACCAAATGAGGAAAGCGCATCGAAATATAATAAAATAAAAGTAATGATCAAGTTGTCGAAATGACGGTAAGATAGGTCCAGGTTAGTGAAAGGGATCGTAAAACCCGTTTCTGTTCCTTATTCTGATTTAAGATCATGTATAGTCAAAGCTTCCGTGTTACAAAGTAGATGTATATGTTCACTTTTCAGTAAGCTTGATATGAAAAGGTAATGTATGAAGCAATTGAAGTGGGCCGCATGGCTCAACTGGTATGGCATTGGGTCGGAAACCCGGTGGTAGCTGGTTCGGATCTGTCTGCGGTCTTAATTTTCATTTAACCTTCAACATCACTCAGTATAAATACTAGTCTGCCAAACTACGGCTATCTCAGATAGCCAAATGATGCTAGTGTAATTACATTTCTAAAACCCTTAGGATGGGCTAAAGTTTGGAGAATTCGCTCAAGTAGTCTATGTGCCAAATTAAACTAACCAACTGAGTCAAGATAGATTGACAATGGACAGCGCAGTGGAATCGATTTCTCATGTGAAGATACACAGATAGGACTACAAATCTTACCAATAGAAGTGTCATCACTTTAAGTCCTCTCTGACTTCTGGGGGCTCACTGATGCCTAGAAGAAACATTTTTTTCAAATAATATAAACGCTCTATGACATACAGTTATGAGTGTGGTTCACAGTTCTCTTAAGTACATCTTCCGAAACTATTTTTCAATACATTTTAGAAAATAATGTTTACTAACTATAGTTTATTATTTATTATATTTTTGTCTTTACAATGTTTCGTCTCTATTATATCTTTCTACTGTGTTTCCGTTCTTCTTGGTCAATTAGAATAGCTTCAAATCATCTATTCATCGGTCCAATAGCTTTGTTACATCGTTAAGTTTAGCAAATGGTCATATACAAACGCCACAGATCCGTTCATCTATTTCACGACCAGAGAAATTAGATTGTTCAACACATATACCTACTAGTTTATCTGATCAGGTTTCAGTTACAACAATAAATGAAGACTGTCAATCAGTGTCAAATAATCAAGTGAATCATTGTATTGAACCGAAAATCTCCTTTGTAATTAAATCGAATCCAATGAATGCTGTTGGTCTTAAACCTTTATTAGTTTTTCTTAATCCAAAATCGGGTGGAAATCAAGCAACAGGATTGTTGAAGAAATTCCAATGGTTATTAAATCCACGTCAAGTATTCGATTTATCAAAAGGAGGACCAAAATTAGGGTGAGTTAATACATAATTTTATGTTATTAGCTTAGATGATGCATATACAAGATTTCTAGGTTAATTATTGTCGCTTAAAGAAAATCGAGTATAATGCAGGTGTACGCAGTGAAGGAGTCGTAAACAGGACGAAACGCGTGTATTTGATTCCATTGCTAACCACCATCCATCATTAAAACAAAGTATAGTCGTTTTTTTGCTTTGACAATGATATATATATATAAAATGAAGAATGTGATGATGAACAGACAATAAGGACAAGAGTTGGCCTTTAATTTACTGAAGGCCATGGGATAAGTAATGCTCAGACATGTTCTTTGTGAATGCATAGTTCGTATTTGATCGACTTTATCACGATAGCCTTCTATTAACATCTTTATGATGTCCTGTGTCGACAAGGTGCTCTAGGACTTGACTTTTCATCACTTTCACTTCGTCCTTTCCAAATGCTCTGGTATCGAGAAACACCTATCTAATCGTTCGCCCTATGTAACTTGTTCCGTAGGAACAGTTAAGGTGATATCCTCAGGATGAAATGTTAAGGTCAGGTAGGCCTCCCCTACAGTTTAGGAATGAGCATTGGCCGACTACTGAAATATATGCAAAGCAGACCTGCATAAAACTTTCTATTAACTTTACTAACTAGGTGCCAAGATAGGATGTCACTTGGACAGTCTCCTTTGAACAGTAAGCGCAGAAACACAGTCTTATCCTTCAATTCCATCAATTTTTGTTTAGTACCACTGAAATTGATGATAGCATTGATGATATCGGTTTTCTCTTAGAGTTTCATGGATAGACAGTAGTACTTTTTCCACACACTCCTTGGAATAAATCGACCTTACTACAAATGCTGTACATGTGATTAAATTACACATTTGCTTCATCACCAATAAGGTAAGGTAGATATTCTTATAGAGATTTCCCTCTCGTAACCTAATTACACAGACGTCGACCTAATCACAGGAGAATTTTCGTTTGACCTAGAATATGCAGATGACATAGTCCTGTTAAGTGGAGACGCTGACAAGATTCAGAGTCTTCTGAACACTCTGAGTGGGAATTTGAGAATGTTTGGAAGCAGTTTCCACCACCCAAATGCAAATTGCCACTCCAGGACTGATCTTCAAAGGTGCCGCGGCTAACGAAAGAAAGTGAAGTGGTTGAACGCATTGTAAACTTCACTTATCTGGAAACTAGGATCAGCCCTGCCCTGGTGGCTCAGTGGCTGATGAAATCTCCGCACAGATACGAAAGGCTCGATTGGCTTTTGCCAATTTGTGTCACCTATGGCGCCCCCGTGATATCTGTTTGTCTATTAAGGGTCGCGTGTACTGCACAGCTGTCCGCTCTGTTCTACTGTATGGCTGTGAAACATGGCCATTGAAAGTGATATGAGGTGTGGCAACTCGGACCGTTACGCAGTAATGCCTGGTCCTATGTTGATATTATTGATTGAAGAAAGCGTGCATAATATGCCTTAGATGTCAGTTTTCTCAGTATAGACAAATTTTTTCTTATCATTGGCGCAGCAAAAAAATGTATCCAACAATTTCCGTTTATAAAGTAATCTGATGGATGAGTGCTGTTGAAGTCGTTCAGAGTAGAATTATTGCATAAGAAACTATCAAAGACTGAAAACATATCATCCACACATCAACAGTACGACTCCGTATTGGGAATTTTGCTAGAATTATGTTTAAAAATACTGGGACTAATGGACATCCCACAGCCACTCGATAAACTTATCTGCGCAAATTACTTTTGAAGATGAACTGAACATTCATTTTACACTTTAGCAATTTATAATAAGAATCATTACTTGTCTCTTGGGTTCCTAGTGGAATATAGGGCTTCAGTAGCATGTCTCCTTTCCACTCATGTCAGCATTGCCTCCGACCAACTCGCTGCTTTCCCATCTGGGTTCCACTCAAGTGCCTCGCGCGTGATGTCCTGGAATGGTCTTCTCAGTTCGTGTCCAATCCATCTCTACTTTATTTCTCCGCATATTTGTTGGGTGATAGGTTCTTGGTTGGTTCGTTACAAAAGTTTCTTGTCGCTCATTCTTATTTTTCTGGTCATCTGAGTTTCAGTAACGAGCCACTGTAGACGGCAGCTGTTGATGAATATCCGCAGTTTGTTGGAAATCCCTTTCGTAACTCGCCAAGTCTCTGTACCATCACATAGAAGCACTGACTTGATTGGATTGGTGTTGAAAAACCGGATGTTGTTCCACATGCTGAGTGCAGTGCACTGGTTTCAAGATAATGTACGCCTGTCTTGCTATCTTTCCGATCTTGGCTATGACGTCCTTGTCTGTGCTTGTGCCGCCTGTAGTTGAAACATGGCTGGTGAAAGAGGTTACTTCCTTCAGGTTTCTCCCACAGATGGTGATTGGAGCTCGTTGTTGTTGTTGTTGGTGGTGTTGGTTGGGTATCTTCATCACCTATACCTTCTACAACTTGTTTTACCCCACCGGTCACCACTTTTCATTAGTACTTCGAGAAATTTCATCTTTAATCAAGTCACCAGTAGGTTGGAAAAGGGGAATTATTGAATTTCAGCCCAGTAGTTCAGTGGTAACGTGCTGGCAGGGGAAACTGAAGCACATTGGATTGATCCTTGGTGGTGAAGGGTCATGATTTGCACCGCTAAAGAATCCCATACTAGGATTAAATAGACGTCTAGTGCCTACAGTTTTTCAATGGTTTTCCAATTGATACCATTCTCTTATGAATACCAAATTGAGTTCATGAAATAGTAGTAGTATGGTCTATAATAATCTGATTACCAGTGAATAATTTTATTGTACTAATCATGCAGTGGAATAAATCTAATTATACGTAAAAACTGATAAAACCAAATTATATAGAGATAAAATAATACCACTTGGTATGAATAAAGTTTTTGGGGATATGATGCTATTCCCCAAGGTAATTACCATTCGTATCGTTAGCTAGCGGTTATTATTATTTTTTATTATTTGTCCCTTGGGTTCCTTTTGGAACATACGGCTTCAGTAGCACGTCATAATTTCACTCTCCCTTCCGCACTCTTTTCAACCTGGCGCCACGACTGCTCACAACTTTCATTCCTTCCTAACACAATCTCGTCTATATCACCCTCACCACGGATGTACAACTAGTCGTTTCCCCTTTGAAATCCACTCCACGGCCCGGCCTCGCCGGAAGCATGATGTCTCCAAATGGTCTTCTCAGTGTATGCCTAATCCATCTCCACTTTCCTCTTCTGCATATTTGTTGGGTGATAGGTTCTTGGTCGGTTGGTTCATTGCCAGCCAGCCAGAGTTCCTTCTTGCTCTTTGCTATTATTCTGGCCATCTCATCTGATCTCCATCTTCAGAATCTAGTGAGCGCAGATGGTAGCTATCGATGATGAATCTGTGAAGTTTGTTGGAAATGCTTCACGTGGTGCACCAACTCTCTCAACCATCACATAGAAGCACTGACTCAATCAGTCTTCAAAATACGGATTCCCTTCACGCTTTATGTTGAGTGAAGTGCAGTGTAGTGCAGTGCAGTCCAGTAGATCTCCACACTGATTCCAGATTATTGAAGGAGGGCCTATTCTGCTGTCTTTCGGATCCTGACTTTGACATCGTTATGTGTACCTGTGCCGCGTGTAGTTGAAACGATGCTGCGTGCCTAGGTAGGTAGGTAGGTAGGTAGATGAAAGAGACAACTTCGTTTAGATTTCTCCCATTGATGGTAATTGGTGGTTTTTGTTGGTGTTGTTGTTGTTGTTTGAGTATCTTAATCACCTCTGTCTTCTCGCTCTAAAAGGCTACTAAAAGACAATATAGTTTACTATCTGAAAAGAGTGAAATGGCTGAGTCAGCTTCGAAGATATAATTTTACCCTCAGCAAAGCAAATTTATCGTCTCTTCATAATTTACGCATAGCTTCCAAATACTTGAAAATTTCAACCGATTCATTGGATATTATCTCAGAGATAAAGTGGAAATAATATCAGTTACAGTAATTGATCAGCATGAATGGTCAGAGATCGACCTCTTTGACCTGTAGATTTTGGTTGAGCATCAGACAGTTTATTCATCTGCTTGAATCTTACCTCATCTAGAGTGGTGGCTGGTAATATATTGAGTTCTTAGTGTATCTAACTGACTTGTTGGTTAGAGATAGTCGACAGGAAGTCTCGCTTGACTGACTTTTTGGGCTTGTCGACACTTTCCAACAAAGCGTATCTACAATCTCGACTGAATTGATGCCCCCTGTGACATTCACATTCCGCATCATCCAATGAAACAGTCAGTGGTGTTACCACTGAGCTATTTGGGTAGTGACTGAACTCCTGTGGAGCTGGATTGGTTACTAGAGGACGAACAATTTCATGTTGTTTAGTCCTGTATGCAAACCGTATTCTATCTATCATTTTGCATTGTGGCCACCAAGCTAGGAGGCTCAGGATTATAGTGTACTTGGGTAGATGTTAGTTGGTTACAGGCAGTCATTAGTTGGACATATATATTTCAGCCTGTGTATTATTGATAAACTACACTATCTGTGGTGTTGTTGAGCACGAACCTTGATAGGATGAATCTCAATTAAAAATGGTTGTACTGGGTGATGATTGGAGGTGAGGTGAAAACCTAGACTGCGACCGGATTCAAACCTGTGACCACCAGGTTACCGGCCTGGTCCTCTACTAACTGAGCTACGAGGTCCGACTGCTGACTGGACTTTTGTTTCACTTCAATCATCAAGGGTTTCGCCCTATTAACGTGTAAATTCGTAATGCGTTACTACCACTTGATCACGTTCACATTCCCTGCCCAGTCACGACTTCTCATCCTAATCCAAATCTAACTGAAACAGAGAAGGGGAACATCATATTGATCATCATTTTGACTATCTGAGATGGCCGTAGTTTGGCAGACTAGTATTTATAAAGAGTGGAGATTGAAAGTGAGCACCGGGCCGGTAACCTGGTAATCGCTGGTTCGAGTCCGGCCGAGGTTC